GCTTGCATTGTATTTACTCGTGGTTAACCTTCAAATATTTTGTGCAGGCTGGCTACTTTCACCTATCCTGGGGGTCTTCTGAAAAATGTTGTGAATAGTTTTGATGGCCACATGACTCTAACAAAAACTAGACGCACACACGTCGAAAGTGACCTTCTGTTCTGGTCGTCACTCAATTTGAGACGGTTCTGACGTTCCACATGCGATTATGGAGCAGACACGTGCTGTTCTGAACCGCATCGAAGGCTTTTGAGCGAACTTTGGCAGGGGCGATGGCCACGCTAATTGAATTTTCATATTGCATTAGGCTGTTTGAGATTTATGAACAATCTGTGTGTGGCCTTCGAGTAAATTCCGAAAGATCACGTGAACTGAAATACACCAGGATCAACGGAGTAAATACATAATATTCACAAGCTACTAACAAGCAGCTAGTACCATACAAATGCTGCATATTTAACCATACTGATAGAACAGGTGTTAGCTAAGAGTTCACAGACTTGTTTCATCAATCTTATGCCGCTGCATGGCACAGCTACAAAGGATGCTGCCCGCTATTGTAGCTACCAGCTTTTTGGGTTTTTAAGTTAGTATCTGAGCTGTCGATATGATGAATCATTCAACATTATTCTGCTTTTTCAAAGCTTGAGCATTGCATCGTTCCGTCTTTATTCATACTTTCATCGTGATTATTTGTAACAATTTGTGATCATACAGGATCTAACTCCGACAGATTTGTCTGAAGAACTTTCGGAATGATAGGCGCAAGGACGAGCTGAGGATAGTGTTTTGTCAATTTCCCTTTCGTTCTCACCGAAGATTACTTTTAGAGTTACCCAATTTTTCAAAAAGGTGCACAGCCACGCCTTAATGTAGTTCACCTATACATTTCACGACTGTGTGCTCATCGGTTCATTTACTGAAGCCCCTTTCATTGTGTGTGGCCTGGAGCTATCAATTCCACCTTCTCGGTGTACCTGTCGTCTGGGTATCTGGGAGAAGTGGGAGACCTCTGATCATTAATGAACTCGCTGGTGGATGTTTGGCAAAACAAATTTATTCTAGTCCCGCACGAATTTCATAGAATACCTTCTTACACTAGGTTTCACTCTCCGCCTCTTCTCCCAGCTTTCATCCGTTGCTCTGTGATACC